CAACCACTATGGAAATCAGTGATGTGGAGACAGATGTTATAAAAGGGGAAATGGAGAAAGTGGGAGATACTTTAACTGGGGAGGGTATAGAAAGGGCTGTACAGAGGGAGAGAGAGCAGAGATAAATAATGCTTAGGTGGTGATATAAAGTCAGAGGGAAATGTATTAGTTCCAAAGCTACTGAAAACTGTATATGTGTGACTTGTGTGTATATAACTGAAGGTTATATAACAAGATGCACAGTGCCAGGCAAGGGAAACCTCCCTTTGAGTTGTTGAACAGGGTGGTCCTAGAGACTTCCAAAATAATACATGTCATTGTCACAGCCCTTGATTACCTCCCAGAACTTGAAGGTAAGACCATATGGCTGAAGACATGACATACTTCAGACACAGAACTTGGAGCAATTGAGCTGGAAGCCTCCTTCCTGAAGACTGGCTCTCATAGCATCAAAAGATACAATATATATAAGCTGCCAAGGGAGAAAACAATCAATGAGCCTACCCAGCTGTAAAGCTTACAAACCACAATGATTGGCCAAGCAAATATTCTCTATTGGTGCAATAATGGCACTTTTATCTGATTGTATTTAAGGCTAGATCAATGGGTGGGGATTCATATATGTTACTGTGAAGAGAGCCAAATACACATAACTGGAAATGGCATAAATTCTAGAGAATAACCTAACTTTTCACTTCCCTAGACCGACATAATTTCTTACTATATTCTAAATACATATGCTTCCATATGTTTACAGAAAAGTGTACCTCTCACCAGTCACTAAAGAAGCTTCTTTCTGCAACAGATGGAAACTGTTAGGAAATTCCACAGTTGGTCAAATGCAAAGAATAAATGTCTGTGAGGTGTCCACCCCTAAATGACACATCTACAATGCAACCTCTATACCAAAGGCTCAGGGAACATCATAGAACAGGGGGTGGAAAGAATATTAACACATCTCTCAACTCTCACCAGAGAAGTTTCCTCATACAGAAATGGTGATTAACCCACAGAGCCACAATTGAACAAAGTGCAGAGGATAAGAGACTGCAGAGTGCTTGTCCCTGAATAGGACACTGGTATCAAACGTCTGCCACCCAAGGCTCAGGAATCGTTGTGGAAGAGTGGGCGGAAAGATTGTAAGAGTCAGAGGTAGTGGATGACCACAAAGAGACAGACAAGTAGGAAGTTACTCATTTTATGAGTGTATCATAAATTTAGATATTTAAACTATTGCTTTCGAAACTGAGTAGTTTCTATTTGGGGACGGAAATAAACAAAGCTCCCCATGAAGATTCTGGTGTTTGAATCATGATCCCATGAGCGAGTTTCTACAAGTGGAACTTTTTGGTCCTAGGATAAGCATATCTTTCCTTTATTAATTCCCAAGTGCTCTGAAAGTGGATGTAAGACTTTTACTGTAGAATATTAAGAAGTATCTTTCTACCCCACAACTGGTAAACAACTTTCTGATTTATATATATCACAGATTTTGCTAAAACAGTCTTACTTTTACAAACGAAATTTGCTTTTATCTAAGTCATGCAGCTACACGTATGTATTTGTTTTTCTACACAAGGAAGACATTATAGGGAGGCCAGGAGGTTAACCATTATCTAATTTCATTGAGTTTGTTTGCTTTTCTAGGAATCTATCATTCTCTTAATGTCATATACTCTCATAGAGCTACAAATTCCCATGAATATGGTTAAGTGTACCAGGCAACTCTCTGTCTTACTTTTTCCTCTTGGAGGTCTCCTTCCTCTACTCTTTAGCTCCCAAGTGGACCCACTGCATCTTAAACAGGCTGAAGAGTATCTGCCCCTCCACCATATTGACTTTCCTTTTTAGTCTTTCCTCTGCTGGATTCACCTGCTTCCTGGACTTCTTTCCTCAGTTTATTGAAACACAATTTGGGTGTGTACCTTCACATTCTGCTTTTTGTCAGTTTTAACCTTTGAAATTTGTTTCATGTTCTTTTGTCTCTTGAGCATATTTTCAATTTCCAAGAGCGTTTTTTGGTTCTTTAAATGCTGCTTTTGCTCATTAAGCATCTTGGCTTTGCATCTTGGTTCTTATTGCTCTGGAAAATTATAATTTTATTGACTTTTTTCATTTGCTCCCTGAATGTTTATGTCTCCTCATATGTTGTTTTTATATTCATTATAGGTTCTGTCTTTCACTTCAGAGTTTCCTAAAATGCCTGTGGGCTTTTGCTATTCATTTGTATTTGAAAACATAATACCAAGGATCAGCTTAGACATTCTATGTATGTGAGAGAATGGAGAAGGCACATGTATATCCCTCTGTGGTGAGAACGCTCCTCACCTTCAATGTTGATATCTGAAGAGCTCTCCCCTTCTGGGTTTTGTTATTTTCTCCAAACAGAACCTTCATTTTCTGGTTGGAATAACCAGAATGCATGTTAGAGAATGCAAGGGCTGGAGGTTTCTCTATCTATTTGGTAAGGTTTTACTTAATGCTCAGTTCCAGTAAGGGAGCAAATTTCTGCCTTCTGCTGTTCTTGCTATGACCACAACTACAGTCCAGGTGCAATCGGGGACAACCTTTCCAGAAAATAAGCCACCCGTGTTGTAGATGACTGGATAGCAATTGCCAGTTAAACAGCATGGTTTTGGATGCAAGAATCTGATCTTTTTGACTTTTGATAAATTATGTATTTAGATTCACTTCAATCCCTTTCTTCAAAACTTATTGCTGCCTCCAATTCATGAGTATATTCTTTTAAAAATATTTTATTATTTTTATTTTATGTGTATGAGTGTATTGCTTGCATGCATGTAAGTGCACCCATGTCATGCAATACCCACAGAGGTCCGAAGAGGGCATTGGATCCCCTAGAACTGGAGTTATGTATGGTTAACTGCCATGTGGGTCTTGGGAATTGAACCTGGGTCCTCTGCAAGAGCAGCCAGTACTCCTAACCACTGGGTCATCTCCCCAGCTCCATGAGTATATTCTTAATTGTAAAACATGTCAACCTATCTCACTGGTGGACATTTAGTAAAGAAAGCATAATTTTAAATAATTTGCCCCTCATCTGACTGAGGGACAGAAATCTTACAAAAATTTTTGTAAAATGTTTCATTTCACAAAATTTAACCCTTGTGGTTGTCTTCTTTTTTTTTTTTAAATCTCTATTCTTGTAGATTTATATTTTTCTAAGATTTGATTTTGTGTCATTTTAGTGGACTTTTGACAGGAGTCTGAAAAAACTAATTTACTATCTATAGTAGCTTAACCCTTCTTCACTGATATAGTAACTTGATATATCATATACATATGTAACATGTATGACTAGATGAGGAAAATATAATTATGGCACACAGATGTACACACCCCACATGCACCCAGACTGTGCCAATGGAGTTCCAGTTGCCGGGTGTGAAAGTCCCTTTTCCATTCTCACTTAGCATCTTGGCATACTCCTCTGCCTTTGCTGATTGCACAACACGAGCCTGTCTTAGTCCTTGCAGCTGACCAATTTTCACTGTCTCTTCCTCTTGTATTTGTGTTCCCCAATATTTTATTCTTCCTCTTCTTTTTTTATCTACCTTTTTCTAACTTTTCTTTGGGCACATCTCTTGAACAGTTTTTGGATTTGGGAATATCTGCATATACATAATGAAAGATCTTAGGGATGGAACCTATGTTCAAGCAGATAATTTGCTTATGTTTCCTATATATCATATATACACAGGCTGAAGGTCATTGTATACAATATTTTTGTTTATTTTCACTTTTTCATGAGGTTATGTGTGGAATTTTCCACTTGTGTTTTCAAGTTGGTGCTCAGAAGTTTTGAATTTTGGATGATATCACATTTCAGATTTTCTGATCATGGTGGCTCAATCTGTAATAATTTCATTTCCCCTTGCACATAGTCAACACTAAAAGGCAGCTTGTGAAATGAAATGAGTGATCCCAAAGTCTCATTTCATCCTTAATGTGCTACAGTAGTGATTACAGACTGAAGGCTCCAAAAGCCACTAACCAGAGGAAGATGGGGGATGCTTGGAGATGACTAAAAAGATTACAAGCTTGATGAGAATGAGTATATGTGCACAACGAGACATAACAACATTCAGAATTATGGTGTTTTAATTGAACAACTTTCATAATTTCTTGATAATTATATATTTGACATAAATAATGTTCACTTGTTACAACATCTCTATTTCCTTTAAACACTTAATCAGTATTTGTGAGTCAACGCCTGCACAGTGAAAAGTAAGCTGTTTTTTAAAACAATTTAAATGTTTATTGGTTTTGCTTATATAATAAGAAGTCAGCAGCTACACTAGTTGCCACTTTAAGTGACTACAGAAACAAAACATAATTATTTTACATGGCTATATTACAATTTTATGTTAGCTATGGCATAACCATATTTTGATAAAAATAGTTGTCCTTTGGTCATTGTAAGCTGTCAATACTGAAAGGTGTTTGAACACATGCCAACATTAGCAGTGGGTACTTCAAGAGAAAATAGGTTAAAATTACAAATTGTTTGGACTCTTAACATCTTTGTTAACGCTATTTTTGTACATTGCTATATTAGAGAGTTCTCAATTCTAGAAAATATGTTTTAAAGTTAGTAGCACCTTTTCTTATCTTGGTTTTAATTATGCAAACAAATTGTGTTTCTTTCTTACCACCCTTTCTTTATTTGTATGCTAAAATTTTGAATCAAACATTTTTCAAAAAGCCACTGAATGGATTTTTTTTGCAAACAGCACATGAGTAGTATTCCTACGCAGTTTTATAATTTGGCATGAATATAGCTCATGATTCTGATAAGAAGGAAAAAGTATGAGGATGTAAACAAGAAGGATATTAGGATGTGAAAATTCAGTACATGGTAATAAAACTGATCTAAAACTATAGGAGTGTAAAATATATTCATGCTGTGAAAGTGTTAGTGACCCATGGTTAATTTAAAATTGTGTCTACTCTGATGGCAAGCATCTGAAAGGTGATTGAGAAGAACTAAGCTGATGGGAACTGTGGATGACTCCCAGAAGTCTATGTGGCACTGGACTTCTTTGACCACACTGTCTTTTCGGGTTATTGAACCTTCACAGTGGATTCTGGTAGAACACAGCATTCCTAGCTTATTTTCAACATGTGGCCTGGCTTACTAAAAGAAAAAAAAAAAAAAAAAAGGAAATTCTGATATATTTTGAGACAAAGTTAAAGCTCTTGGGCCCAATTTGTTCCCAAGTCACTCTAAGAACGCTGCTCTGTGTTTTGCTGGAACAGAATCAGGACCTTTCACACTGATGTGACGGGGGTAGTGACGAACGCCAGGCTAAGAATGGGAATCTTTCCCCATGGGCTTCCTCCCACCCCACCTCATTTCCTCTCTCTTCCGTTTTCTCTTGTGCATACTTTCACACACTTCTCATCCGGAGTTAACCTAAGGCACTTTGCAGAAGGAGATTAAAAAACTAAACAAGAATGTAGTGAAGAGGGTTTTATAGCCCCCAGAGCAGTTTGGACTTTAAGTTTTAGAAAAGCACCATGTCAAGAACATCTGTCTATTGGCTGTTTACAAAAACAATATTAGCCATAAGCTTCCCAGGTAGCTATTACATTGACAAATTTGTATGACTTTAAAAATAGTGTTTTAACTATACTATTATACTAGAGACTTTTAATGACAGCATGGCTGGGAGAGGATGCTCCTTGCTTCTTTGCAATGTGGACACTGCACCAGGCAACTCACATTCTGTCCATTATGGGGTCACTGGCATCTCTCTGTCCTAAAGCAACGAACACTGGGGCCTGCCCTTCGTTAAATCATCTATGTGTAGTGCATACAGCTAAGTATTTACAAATGATGTAACTAAACAAAAGGAATTTAAAATTCAGCAATGGAAGAAGATTTGAATGAATCTTGAAAAAAGTTGTAGGTAGTATTTTCTTTCTTTCTCTGGCGTGTGTGAATGGGAAACGCAGAGGAGTCTTAGCTGGCAGCAGCTCCAGCCTTCCCATTCTTTGTGTATCATTTGTTCTTACAAGAGTGTAAAGATCATAATGATTTCCCAAAGTCTAGGCTCCATCTCGCTCATATTCCCTCCTATTCATTTAAATGTTCCTAATGACCAAAACAAAGCAACAACAACAAAAGTACACTAGCTTTCGCATTTTGCTTCCAATCACAGTCTGACCAGCGATGTGCTGCTATGCATAAAAAGTCATTTACTAAAGGGGTTTTAAATTTCAAACTGAGTGATTGAAACTTCATTTTAAAAGGTTTTTTGAAGTTTCATTTGAAAAGTTGTTTTCAGTGTCACCCTTTCCCTTTATTCAGATTCACATGATTGAACAATAATCCCTTTTAACAGAAATGCCAAGTGAGATCCTCTTTAAATGTAAGTGCTGCCTAAAATTCTAAGCGCTTTCACAAAGAGGCTTCATTCACTTTCACTGTTTTCTTACATTGTAAACTGCTCATGAAATGCCAGGTGTTAAAAGTTACACGTGTTAAAAGTAATCCCCCTTACATTTGTGCAAAGACAGTTTTCCACTTTGATTCGGCAAAGGTTTCATTTTGGTTTAATGACATCTGTCCAAAATAAGGAAAATGAGATTAGGTGAATATTTCTTCTTTCAAGACGAGCTGTATTTATTACTGGAACGGAAGTTGTCATATCCGTGATCATTAGCTTTGAACTTTAAGCAGGACTGCTTTTCCTCCAAGGACTGTTTTTCTTCAAATGACTGGCACCAACAGCATAAGCAAGACTGTACAAAACAAAGCAATGGTCACATGTTTACCTCGGTCACACTGCCACCACTGTTCCTGAGCTCTAAGGCTCTGACTTTCTGAGCAGGTCTGTGATTTCTTGGTCCCTTTCTTTTCATGCCCCCTTATTTCCCATCTTAAAAAGGACAGAACCAGCAAGATGGCTCCCTGGGTGAAAGCGCTCACTGTGCAAGCCTGAAGAACTGAGTTGGATCCCCAGAGCACAGGATGGAAGGAGAGAACAGATCCTTACAAAGCTGTCCTTCTCATACATGCTCGATGGTGTGCATTTGCAGTGGCACTTGAACACCCACACTCACATACAAACATTGTACTCACATAATAATAATAGATAAATTAAAATTTAAGAGATAAGATTATATCGATAGTATATGCTAATATTTTTTACTAAAAAGTAGAGGGAAAAAAAGCTATATGATTAACATT